AGAAGTTCTTTTTCACAGTATGAAAAGGATCTGTTCAAATTGTTAAAATAACTTTATCAGGCAAAAATTAAAGCAGAGTTGAAAAATTTAAAGTATTAAAAGCATGATTTGACTTAAGACAAATCGCAATTGTATTTTCAGTGAAGTCAGCTCCACTTTAAAGCTTTATGTTACCGTGGGGAAATAAAATGGAGGAATTAAAATGGAGTCTACATAACTATTATACATAATGCTATGAAAATAAGTGAGGTGAATTTATATAAAAAAATTAATGAAAGTTATGGAAATAATACTGTAATAAATAACGATATTAGGTAAGAAACTATACCTAAAACTACTTTCGACTTTTCTTTTTTTAGGGATACATTGGATGTCATCTTTAACACATTTGATAAATAACAGATTTACTTCATTGAGGATTTCCAAATAAGTAGAATATTCTACTAAACATAAATCTGTAGAGTTTTATAAAGACAAAAAAAAAAGTGCAATGGTTTACAGTCATATATAACAAAGGTTATCTCTGAATGTGAAAAAGTAGGACTAAAACTTGGTTTTTGAGATTAAGTCCCATACAATGCTTCTCAGTTCATAATTAAAAGAGATTATATTTGATAGACTAAGTTCATAGCTTAACATATACAATGTAATTATATATGTTTATAAAAATAAATATAAATAAAGATATGATTTATATGTATTTATTATTTTAAGAACATGTCTTATTAATAATAATTCTACATAACAATAATATATAATATATATAATCACAGTATTATATTGATATTAATAATTTTTACTAATTATATTAAGATAATATTTATATTACAATAATATATATAATGTAAATAAAATAATATATGTAATATTACTAAAGAACACATAATATTCATAATTTATATAATAATATTATATATTATTATATGTATTTATTATTTTAAGAACATGTCTTATTAATAATAATTCTACATAACAATAATATATAATATATATAATCACAGTATTATATTGATATTAATAATTTTTACTAATTATATTAAGATAATATTTATATTACAATAATATATATAATGTAAATAAAATAATATATGTAATATTACTAAAGAACACATAATATTCATAATTTATATAATAATATTATATATTATTATATGTATTTATTATTTTAAGAACATGTCTTATTAATAATAATTCTACATAACAATAATATATAATATATATAATCACAGTATTATATTGATATTAATAATTTTTACTAATTATATTAAGATAATATTTATATTACAATAATATATATAATGTAAATAAAATAATATATGTAATATTACTAAAGAACACATAATATTCATAATTTATATAATAATATTATATATTATTATATGTATTTATTATTTTAAGAGCATGTCTTATTAATAATAATTCTACATAACAATAATATATAATATATATAATCACAATATTATATTAATATTAATAATTTTTACTAATTAAGATAATATTTATATTACAATAATATATATAATGTAAATAAAATAATATATATAATATTACTAAAGAACACATAATATTTATAATTTTTATAATAATATTATATATTAGTATATTATAATATTATATACTATAGAAGAATATTTATTTTATATTAATATTTTACGTAGTTTTTTATATTAATATAATTAATATATAACTATTGTTGTTATTGCATTTAATTTCTAAATTTCAAGATACAAAAAAGAAGTAAGAGAAGTACAATTGTTGCCTTCAAATGCATGCGTTTTCCATTATTTTCTTATAAAAATAATGTTTCTCCATTAGATGATATTTTTTTAGTGGTAATGAGAGATACGCTTCGTTAACTTTGACTTCATTCAGTAAAAAATTTTAAAGATGATGTGTTGTTATGAAATATTATATGAAAACATTAAGTAGCGAACTTGTCACCAGGCGCCTTTCTACTTCAAGAAGCGACACATATGCTGAGCATATGCAATCAAATTGTTAATTTTTTTTATACGAGTAATTATAGAATATATTAAACTGATTTACAAGAATTTTAGTTGTTGCTATATGACTGACTATTAGAAGACTATTAAAATAAAAAAGAAATTATTATACATATATAAATTTATAATTCACAATTTTTTTCTACATAAAAAATAAAAAAATTTTTATATGTAGAGATGGTACCACTACAGCTAAATTTTTATATTTAAGTACTTTAACAGAAGATATATAGTTGATATAGTGAAGATGAACTAACCTTAAACAATGTGTCTACTAATAAATTTTCATTGTTAAGGGCTTAATATAAGTTCCCAAAAATATTTGCATATACTACGGTTAGTACATATCTCTATAGTATAACATAGTGCTAACATTACGTCTTTTAGGTTAGGTTGTGATGAAGAAAGAAATCATAAGATAAAAAGAGAAAACAGAGTACAGAAGCTCTAAGGAAAGAAATACTGTTGCAACCGTAGGTGTATAGCGTTAGATTGATTATGTTGGTACTGTGATCTCTGATATCCACACACGTCTATTGGCTTATTACGACTTCTAGAGTCACTGAAATTTTTATCATGTATTGATTTATTTATCATGTATTGAAAATGATGATTTTCTCGTATAAATAATAAAAAATCACTGTCACTTGAACTTATGTTTAATATTAGAATTGTGTTGAACTAATATAACTCTTAAATAAATGTAGCGAATATCACTTATTATTATGCATTCACATTAAAAGTACTACAATTTAATAATGATGATTTTAGTACATGTTATGTCATATCAAAACACGCAACATTTTGAGTGTCAAGTTCAGTAATTTTTGTCAACGAAAATTACTTAAACATTTTAAAACAAATCTATTATATTTATGTGTAAACATTACAATTTTATATACACAAAAAAAAAAAAATAATGAAACATTTAATTTAATTTTCCACCCGCACCCTACAAATTGAATCATTTATTGTTTGAACTGCAAAATCGATGATCATCATCTGTGCTAATGACTTCCAGATGTGGAACATTGGCTGCTATTTTCATTTCAAATTTGAGCTACAATGGACTAATAAGTATCTCTTATTGAGGAAAATATTGACTACTTAAAGCAGATATACTTCATTTTTGATATTATGAAAAAGATTTTTTTATATCATTTATACCTCAATAATAATAATTTAATATTAAAGAATCATTCATAGTCAAGTATGTGGTTATTACTTCCTCATAATTGTTTAATAATTAATAACTGCTTATTAATTTACTGCAATTTTATCGAAGTATGTATTTTTTAAATTAGGTTTAAAATAGTCTTAAGGTAAATAAAATTTTAGTATTTTAGTACACAAACAATTTATTTATTATTTACTTTTTCATTATATTAAATTGAGTTTAGCAAACGAGTAATGCTAATTATCTTATATACAACTCTATCGATAGAATGATTTTTGAAATAGATATCTGCAATAGGACATATTGCATAAACATCAAATTTTGCTTCGGCGGTACATTCGATATCCTTATTCTATGTTAATTGGTTTAGGGACAAAAGTGTTATTTTGGTTCATTGAGTTTTAAAAAACTCATAACGGTTTTGTTGCAGCTATCTTCGGACCAAAACTAGAATCTCGCTCATGCTGAGTGTATGACCCACTTTCTTTTAAGTGGTGATTCACATCCTTCATATCAATAAAAAACTAGCTAGCAAGAGACTTCAGCGAAATCAACGACTACCTCACTCAGTTCCTATCTAGTCATGGATATTTCAACAGCTACATCTACTGCATATATGCAAAGTAGTCAACAAATTGCTTATATGTGGAGCTGAGAACTATATCGCAAAAGACACATTCTTTGAGTGCAATGGTTATCGAAAACGAACGAGAAGTGTTGGTGTTTTCTCTTCAATGGCAGTGACAGGAAAAATTATCGTATCGTGTAGAAATGTTTGATGAAAAGAGTATGAGATTGAAAAAATAGATCTCGACAGAATACAGCTGGGGCAAGCAGAAGTATTATACCAAGACAAAGTATAAGGTTTGTCACCAGAAACAACCTAGAACACAGCCATAAAAGTCTTAAATGACTAATAGCGACCCTATCTCGAAGTATTATTAACGTAGTCCTTATCATAAGATAAGGTTTCTAGAAATGAAGATTCTAGAAATGAAGGTGGTGAGTACGTGCAAGTCGGGCACTCCTTTCCGGGGATTGTGGTCAGTGCCTACGCAATCCCCTCCTTCCCGACGCACAGAGGTTTAAAACCAAAGGGTTAAAATCTATTTCACCCATATCTAATTTTAATTTACGTAGATAGTCAAGCAACAATCAATGCATTGGGACTTCCGAGAACTTTTGTACACTGCTGTAACAGAATTCGTTAGTTAAGACTCGTAATTGTTATTTAGCTCATTTGAAAGTCTTAAAGACTGATTGGAGATTATAAAGTAGAAATTCTAATTCTATGCAATACGCGGCAACGTGACTAAAGTCGCACGCGCTCTATTACATAGAATTTCTGACAAAAATTTAAAAAATCTTTTTGCAATTATTTTCTGCCTCCGTTGGGCTGGCTTGACAATATGTTGTCGATCGTCTCGCTATTGTTGCGGCTGGGCTTGCAGTCGATACTTAAGCTTAAAAGGGTGAATCTATTAGATCAGATCGTAGATACACATGTTGACGACATAATGACATCATAAACAAAATCGCATTCGGCATATAGTGACAATAATTGTGCTTCTATGTCAAGTGTTTGCGTTTGTGTAGTTGCCACCATTTTTACTAATGTTATTATTGTTGTTGTTTCAGTTGTTTCTGTTGCGTTTGCTGTTTTAATTATACATCGATATGATCTGTGTTCCGCATTTGAAGTTCATGTTCGATTTTTTATTTAAGTCATTTTATGTATGTGATCAGTATGTGATATAGTATAGAATCATAACGAAATTGTATCTTCAACGCAACAACATGAAAATAGTTGGAATTTGCCTATTGTCGTTTGCAAATGTGTTGCTATATAAACGCTTTGAGTTTTGTTTATAGTTCATATATAATTAAGGAGTTATCCTTTCTAACTAATAATTGAGAGGATCATTGCTAGCCAATGTTAATAATGTCTAAATCGCACTTTAGTAATATTTTTATAGCTATCTTTGGTTTATCTATTTTATTTAATTGTTTAACAAATGCCGCGGTACATCGCACCATAGAAGAGGCTCGTCAAGAACGTCAGCGTTTAGTGCAAAAATATATTAAAACTCTTAATAAAGAGGAGGGCGCTATACGCTTGGTTGGTGGCCAAACGGAATTCGAAGGTATTACAGAGGAATGCATAATTGTAATTTGAATAATTAAATTGAGTTGCAAATATAATGTGTGAGATGGTGAATTAATTAATATTATACGAAATTAAAAAATAAAAGAAATAAATTGAAATTGAAAAGAAAAAAATATAAAATGAAGTTATATATATGTTTTAAAATAAAGATCTAGAATATAAAGTCTAGAATTTCTACAAAAAATTATATTTTTGTTTGCATATTGTAATAAAAATAAAAAAAAAATTAAAATTTAAGTGAATTCATAACCTAAATCTAAAATTAATATAAATATTAATATTATGCTAAACATCTAATATATCTCAGTTTTATATTTTTACTTCAAAATGTGATTTAGTCAGTAATATTTAAATTTCGGTTCAAAAGTTATAAGTAAACTTGATCTAACAATATACATAATGTTTATTTGATAAATATTTGTTTGATATATATATACAAGCGAAATGTATATAAGTGAAATATATATTTCCCTTCTTAAAGACGTGTTTGTTTGACACAATCGGATATGATTGCAAGATATGTCTATGGGTACTAACATTATTTAGTGAGAAAAAACCGTCTTTATTTTTTATATCATCTAATATAATGCTATATTATCTCATTGTGAAAATTGTAAATAATATAATAAAAGTAGGAAATTTATTAAATCCAATTTTATGTATATTTTATATTTATAAAAAATAAAATATATACAAAATATTTTATATATTGTATCATTGCCGACAAATTGTATATATCGGCATATGTCTAGTCGCACATTTCTTTCCAATAAAATTACTTGACTATTATATTTTTAAATACAGCAATATATACATTATTTTATTTAAACAAAGTTTTCATGACTATTTTATTAGGAATATATTTTTCTGTTCTAATTATCAAAGGCAAATAATATCTATAAAAAGTTTCTAAAAAATAATTTAAATTATTTTAAAAATCTATACGATTTTGTTAAAATTTCTCTTCTGGAGAGATTTTGTTTAGCTGACAACTATGTTCTATATAGTTGAACTACAGTGAGAGTCGTCAACCACTGTAACGAGAGACTATAGTGTAATTGTGGGTTGAATATAAGGATATGACCAACTCATTTATTTAAAATATCATAAGTACGGAAGCTCACTATGAACATAAAAAAACCGAGTTTTTAATGTAAATGAAATCTAACGAGCATGCCAGCTCGTTTTGTTTACTTGTTTTATTAAAACCGTGTATATAGTTAGATGTCAATTTAATAACTAAATTTCATAATAAACAAAAAATTATATACATTAATCAAAAAATAGAAACAATATACATACTATACAAATTTCAGGTAATATCGAGGTATTACACAACAATAAATGGGGAGCAATATGTGATGATGAATGGGATGCCATCGAGGGTCGCTTAGTATGTAGACAACTTGGTTTTCCCGGTTTTAAAAAAGTAACACATAGTGGTTACTTTGGACCAGCACGACGACGTTTTTGGATGGATAATTTATTTTGTGAAGGTCACGAGAAAGAATTAACGCATTGTCGATTCGATGGTTGGGGTGTGAATGATTGCGAAGCTAGTGAAGCAGCCGGTGTTATATGTGAAAGCCCATATCCAGAACCAACTGAACCACCTAAACTTAATTTACCAAAATATCGCATACATCATGCGTTTCCAGTTGATGTACGCCTACGTGGAGGACGCACGCGTAATGAAGGTCGCGTAGAGGTAAGCATAGACAACGGAGCATGGGGTACAATATGTTCAGATGGTTGGTCATTACTTGAAGCGAATGTTGTATGCCGGCAATTGAATTTGGGTTATGCACGTGATGCATTACAAACAGATTATTTCGGTGGAGCAAATATATCCGCAAATATGTTAAGTGGCACAGAATGTTATGGTAATGAATCCACGCTGGCACAGTGTCTACATCACGATCAGCAAGCAGGCACAGCAGGTTGTCATGGGCTAGTAAACCATGTGGCTGTAGTTATATGCGATCATTTAGCTCCTGATTTAGTAGTAGATTTTTATGAATTGGAACGTACTGCACATTTAGAAGATCGTCCTATGGCTTTAATGCAGTGTGCAATGGAAGAGAATTGTGTAGCGAATGAAGCTTATGAAATACAACGTGATGATCCAAATTGGCGTTATTCGACGAGAAGATTACTCAAATTTACGGCAAGTGCACTAAATGCTGGCAACACAGATTTTCGACCTTTTAAGGAGAAACACATGTGGGAGTGGCATATGTGCCATATGTAAGTAGACTTTAAAGACAAATTTTATTTAATACAAATTATAAATATTAGCTTAATTGTAGGCACTATCATAGCATGGAAGTGTTTGCTACTTTTAACATATATGATTTGCATGGTATTAAAGTGGCACAGGGTCATAAAGCATCCTTCTGCTTGGAGGACAGTCAGTGTTTGCCGGGTATACCAAAGAAATATAACTGTGCCAATTTTGGTGATCAAGGTAAGTAATACACACTATATCTTTTAAGAATGGTATTAAATTTCCAATTTCAGGCATTTCTGTGAATTGTTCAGATGTGTATTTATATAACCTTGATTGTCAATGGGTTGATATAACAGAAATGGAAACGGGTGAATATATCTTAAAAATGGCTATTAATCCAGAATTTAAGGTTGCTGAAATGAGTTTCGATAATAATGCTGCTGTATGCAGTTTAATTTATACTGAAACCTATGCTCGAGTAGAAGATTGCAGGCTAGAAAGACCTTAAATTACTGAACATATTTAATATTTTATAAAATATTAAGAGAACTGCTCTTATGAATAACGAGTAGCCAAGCGAACATGTGCCAAATATTAACTAAGAACCAAACACTGCTTTTGCTTAGCAAAACTATTTATGGGTATTAAGTTTACAAATGAAATTATAATAATTTATGAATAAAGAAATCATATTATGATGTATGTATAGATATGTATCTCAATCAAATCGCATCGCTTACTCAAATATCAATGTCATATGGGAGCACTCAAGCGTTAAGTGGGTTAATAGCTTTACAGTGGATTTCGTGTAACAAATTGCGCCAGAACGTTTTTGCTCTTCAGCATTAGTAATTTCAGTGAATTTAAAGGAAAGTAAAAATGCACTTAGCAATCAGCAGTCAGAAGTGGGTTTGAATATATTTATAAAATAGGATAAAAATATTATTTAATTCATCATAAAGAATAATTTTATTACAATACACAAAAAAGCAATAATAAGTTTCGATTTCTGGTAGTAGCAAGTTTATTTACATTGTGACCGAAAAGCTTTCGGAAATTCTCATTTAAAATTCGCGCGCTGTATATTTTTCGATATTTTAAGTTTATGATTGGCAGCACTGTCCTTAATTATTATATGCCAAAAATAAAGAGCGCGATCTTGTCAGAAGTTCGTTTACGGCAGCTGTTGAAACCAGTTCACCTCAGTAGTGCGTTGCGAAAAAAACAATGGAAAAAAATATTGAACAAAGAGTTTGCATCAAATTTTGTTTTTCGAACGAAATTTCGTGTGCAGAATCTTTGCGAATGCTACAAAAGGCTTATGGGGAATCAGTTTTATCGAAAACTCAAGTTTATGAGTGGTACAAAGCCTTTCAGGACTGTCGTACGACCGTCGAAGACATGCCGCGTTCTGGACGACCTTCGACCTCTACCCCCGACGAAAACATTGAAAAGGCAAAGGAAATCGTGTTCCAAAATCCTCATGTGAGTGTTAGAGAGATAGCACGAGAGCTAGGCATCGGTCGTGAGATGGCTCGTTTGATTTTGGTGGACAATTTGTGTATGCGACGTGTCAACGCTCGGCTTGTTCCGATTCACCTCAATTTGTTCAACATTATCAACGATTTTAAGGCCAAACATTCAATAAATACCATCGAACAGCCACCGTATTCACCTGATCTTGCACCGTGTGACTTTTTCCTGTTTCCCAACCTCAAATTACCACTCAGAGGAACGCGTTTTGAATCCATAGAAGACGTAAAACAGAATTCGCAGAGGGAACTCAAAGCCATACCGGAAAGCGCCTATAA